ATTAAAAATTCTGATTTTCTGTCTACAAAAGACTTGTAATGTTTACTAAAAGCTTGAACATTTTTGTGAAGATACACAAAACATGTTAAATTATGGAGACACTGATGGTCACATGGTCGGGGGAATTTACAGAGGCAGTTGCAAGGGGGTTAATGAAATGCATATCAAATCAAACTGTTAACATAATGACATTTTGAAATGTCTCCAAAGATGGGACTTTTATGGTGTTGTGATAAATGAGTCACATGACCAAGGACTTGGGAAAAAAAAGCTAGTCCTTTGTGTAAAATATAAGCATGAAGACAATGCTGAGACATCTTATCTATACAGTGCAAAGCTTTATGATGGCAAAGCCCATACAATTTCCCAACATTTGAAGAATACCTTTGACAAATTGAGAGTAGATATGAAACAAATGGTAACCTTATGTACAGATGGAGCTGCTACCATAGTAGATCATAGGGCTAGTGTAGGTGTGAAAATAAAGTAAAAATTTTTCCCCATTTGTCACAAAGGCATACTATATATGGCCCACACACTTGCATTGGGATATGTCGATGCCATCAAAAAACATTAAACCACTCAATTAAATATACAATTTAACAGTTTGTATTATTTCTTCAGCAGCTCTTCAGTAAGAACTGTAAAACTGCATAACTTTCAGAGCATTTTAAATGACAAAGAACTGCAAATTGAGAGATAGTTGAGCGTGAGAAGTGCAGTTGATGCTGTGTATCATAATTATTCTTCTGTTGTAGCAACAATTTATGAACTAGATACAACAGCTAAAATCACTACACACATACTTTAACAGCACTAAAATAGCTTTAATTACAAGCCTCATGTTAGATGTCCATAATGAAATTCAGGTGTTAAGTTAGAGGTTTCAGCATGAAATTCTGGTTGTCAATCAAGAGAGACCATTAGTTGAGTCTACTTTAGCTGGATTCCGTGAGCTAAAGAAAGGTGGTGAAAATTACAGGGAGATAGTAAGCACTTAGGAACATAAAGATGGGTGTATGAAAGGTGTAAAACTTTGTTTCAGAAGGGACTCTATCAGAAGAAAAGCAACTGATGAGTAAATACACAGACAGACTTCATCAGAACATCACTGATAAGCTTTCACAGCAAAATGAAATCATCGTTCATAATCTAGGATCCATACTGGAGCCTTCTGTTTTAGCAGTCTGATCTTGCAAATTTTTATGAAAATTTTACCAACATTTCTAATGACTGGGAAAAAAGTACTAAAACTGAAATGCTGCCTATATTTAACAAAATTGATTTTGTTCAAAATGAATGACTTAGGTTCTAAGGCATATTGAAAGACACACATAAAAACTCAAAACCTGAACATTTATGTAAAAGGAGTATTAAACTGCATGGTGATCAATTTCCTCATGTCAAAAATTGTGTCAACTAGCCATATACTCTTGTGTATCAAGAGTTAATTGTGAAAGAGCCCTTTCTGTACAAATCAGGATCAATATAAAATTCAGATGCTCTATTAAGGCCGAAAAATACTGTTTAACCCTATACTTACGGGCACCCTTTACTTCGCATGTCACAAAATTATATTTTTTACATTCAAAACAAAATTAAGCAATCTTATGATCAATGTAAGCCAATAAAATTAGCATTAAGTTTTATATTATCTAAGTTTTTATTCCTTTATTTCAAAGGAAAAATTCTTTAAATTTTAGTTTTGTGGTCACATGACCCACAAGTTCACAAAATCTTAAATTTTCATTTCTGTAGCTTGAATACTTCTTCATGTACACTATGCTTCCACATATAGACAGAAACTAGGTTAAATGCTCTGTTTAAACATTCTCATTTCAAGCTCCTTATGGCACAATCGCGGAAAGGAGAAATAAATTTCTTGGAATTCTTAACAAATGCCACACCCACTTTCTACACATAGAGTTGCAATTTCTCATCCAATTATACTAAGTTCAGCTAGATGTTTATAACCAATAGAAAAAGCACATTTTAAAATATCCTCTCCCAATAGATATTTTAAAATTGGCATGAAGAATTACACAGAGAACTAGTCAAACTGCTCTTGTCCTTGCTAGCACTTTAGCATTGTTTCTCACCTATAAATATGTTAGTTAGATAGACAATTAAATTGTTTTAAGGTTTTAGTTTAACATTTTAATTAATTATGTGTTATTTATGTCTTAAAATGCATATTAAAAAGTTTAACAAGTTTTTAAAATATAAGCCAAACTGCCTCAGTTCATCAGGCTTAGTGTAGTAGGCGAGTGTCCCAATATTCTGCCGATGATATTGTAATATTGCCTGGGGATGCCTGTTGACGTGTGTTACAATAAATAATAATGTTAAAAGACAGAAAAGGAAAATAAAACATCAAAATAAACTCTATATGAAAATGTCAAAACTTACAATTAAGAATATAACCAAAATATCTTTTAAGATTATTAGATAAAAAATTAAAATGTATGTACATTTTTTCTATTTTTAATTTTAAACATTTCATTGTACTAAACATTGATGATAATACTCGAAAATTCAGAGTCTGAGTGCAAATAACTAATAAAAAAATCTATCTCTAATTAAAATAATCTCATTCTTCGTGTACAAAATAATTGTAATCTTTAAAAAAATCTTACCAATGGATGTGATGTTAAGAAAGTTATTGTAAGTATTGTTGAACTGTGTATCATTCTTCATATGAGAATTAAGTCAAATGGGTACAAACCATTACCATGAAAAGTTAATGAGAATTGTAATGTTAGGTCCATACATTTTAATGTATGATCTCAGTCCAGTAATTGAAATGTGGGACAATGCTAAGAAAAGAAGAAAGACAAGGCATTCACAAACATACAACCAGAGAATTAAGAAAATTAAAAATAAATGTGTAAGTTGTATGTATGTTTCTGTAGTACTTTCTTTATGCCAAATACACAACAAGATTATATGGACACATTCAAACTCTTACAAATAATTCAGTCACTACATAAACCAACATACAGACACTTGTCTACGATATTGAATCACTGACCACCTTTGGCAGATACTGATAAGAGGCAAAATTTGATCAGTACTATACTGATCATGGCAAAAATGCTCTGGAGAATTTAATTTGTAGCACAATCAAATGCAGATATGGAAGCAAATACAACTACAATGTCTGATGCCACATAAGAACTTGACAAAAGACAAAATCAAGCAAAATAATACAACAAATTTTTGGCAAGAACTTAAATTCGACATCTTTCAGGCCTCAAAGAATTTTTGGGGTCTGAAAGACAACCCAGGATGCTCAGAAACTTTTGTTTCTCTTCACCCCACAAGAGACAAATTGTTAATGCCACAAAAATTTGGATGAGAAGTACCCTCTGTGCTTAATTTTGGTAGAGCACCTTGTTCGAGATTTGTGGAAACATTTTATGTGCTAACTCGAGCAGAGAGAGAAAGCCATGAAGAAACTGTCATTCAGTTGACAAAGCCAATGCACGTGTATTTGTTGCTGCACGTAGTGATGACGTCAGCAAGAAGTGAATAGTTGAGATGAGAAGAGAGAAGCAGAACAAAGTACACGAGTTTCTGTTTGACTGGTTTTTAAAAATTTCATGTACATTTATAATGAAAGCTCTGTAAAGTTAACGTAAGATTATATCCAAGGCTAGTGGACTTGCAAGAGAAACAGCCCTATTTAAGGGGCTGGGATAGAATTATTCAATGTCCTGGTTGATTTTAATGCAGGAGTAAACTGGAGTGCTTGGAGAAAACCTGCTTTCATGGGCCAGGTGCCAAATAATCTACCTGACCCATGCCCAAGATGTGAAGCTGAAAGGGAAAAGAAGTTTGTTAGCATATAAATATTTATTTTAACACTCTATTGCATTGGTCTTAGGATGTATTGGCTTGTGGTTTTATGTAGTTTAGAGGTGATGTTATGTTTGCCATGTAGCGGGTGTGGCTGCTAATGTTTGAAAGGTGCTGGTATGACTGTTGTGTGTGTGTGTGTGTGTGTGTGTGTGTGTGTGCGACTTATTGTAGTATTTTTGTGCTAGTTTATGGATGCATTCTTTGGTGGACAGTAAGTCTGTGAGATTGCTGACATATTCATTGGGGAGAGGTGTATTTAGGGTCAGACATGTTACAAGTGACACGACATCTATATTTATATAGGGGTGTAATGTAAGCTTTGTAGATTTTGATGATAGTATGGCATTTTTGAGAATGATGCTGAAGTGAGTTGTCCAGATCATGCACATATTCAGTGTTATTCATAAAAATTTAGTTGTTTTCTTAAATGTGATAGGGGTATTAATAAGAACAACAGATACAAGTTATCATCCCAACCTGCAATGCAATCCATGTTATTAAGAAAAACAAGGAACGTGATTCAACATGTGATCAAAAGATTGTTTTTACACAGTTGGCTAGTTCTCTCTCTCTCTCTATTTGTTAATATGGTAGTAAAGGCTGTGCCCTCCCTGTACTTTAGCCACTGTGGCTGACATCCTTTTGTTTTGCCCTTGCCCTGTGGTGTGTACTGAATGGATTGATTCATTTGGGGAACAAAGAAGCCTAAGACAACGAATCAACTGCTGATGTTTATGATTGGGAAGTTGGTCCCTATCTATCACAACTTCAACTTGATTTTAAAAAATCCTACAGAAACCTTAACATGGTATTTTTCAGAAGATGGTGAGATTTTGACATCATCAATGAAAAAAAGAAACAGAATGACAAGAGACAAGAGTGAGCAACAACCATTAAACCAAATTTCCTGAAGAAATACCAGGAGAATTCCACTGGACTGGCTAAAAATACTTTCTTGAAATATGGTCATGTATCATAGAAAATGAATTTACAACCAAATGTATGCAGAAAGTTAGGTAAAAAAGTAGTTCATTGGAACATCTAAAGATAAGATTCTGATATAAGACTTGAAGTTACAGAAAACAAAAGTGAAACGTATTTGTTACTATAACTGAAGGTTGAAATAATGATTCACCTACTTGTGGTTTACTACTACTTGAAAATGATGATGATCCAGTTGTTCCCAGTTGCTGAAAAATTATAATTACCATTTATTTTTTTGTCAAGATCGTTACAAAATCACTAAAGATACATTAAACAGCTTACTTTACAAGATGGAAGGCAGCTAGTGAACACCACTCACTGACAACTCTTGGGCTATTCTTTACCAGCAAATATAGGATTGATTGTAACATTAAAACACCCTCACAGTTGAGCAATCAAGCATGTTTCGTGATAGGGCACTCGTTCCTGCAACCCACAGGTTGTGAACGAGTGCCCTAACCACCAGTCTCACTACGTGCTTTTATTGCTACTTAACCAAATACAATAATAGTACATTTACATTGAAAGATAAATCTTGCTCAATAAAATAGAAACATTTGTAGCAAATGCTTTACAAAAGAATCCAAAATGTATTTCAAGTTCAATAACAACATACAATGCTTACAACTTACATCATTTAAAGAAGAATATCATCATTTCTGAGAGACAGTTTTTCACCAACATAGACAATTTCAAATAGATTTGATAACTGTTTAACACTTTTGCTACAGGCATCTTTTTCTATACATGCCATGAGGTTTTAGTGAGTTATATTCAAAATTTAATTATACTACTTTCTTACCATGGTACAGATAAATTCGGCATAAAAACATAGCTAGTAATCCAAGTTTTAATCCTATATATGTTTTAAGTTCTTAATTTTATAAGAAAATATACAAACAATCTCACATTTCACCTAGTATGAGAATTATGATATTTTCTCTCTAGGCATCCCCTCTTCTCTAATTTATATACCACCCCTCCAGGAAGTATGACATTTAATGTAAATTACTCATTTTACTCATGATTACTCTCAGGCAAAGCATAATTTTTATAGTCTTCTATTTTATTCAGTTACAAAGTCATAAAATAGAAAATTAGACCCCTCTTACCATGCCCACCTGTCACATCCTCTCTCTCACAAATTATCAATAGTTCTCTCTGACATTTAATACTATATTATTTATAAGCAGTAGAAAGCCGAGGTTGTAATCTATTAAATGATGTATTATACTATATTGGCTTCTGTACAGAGTTTTGTCTATTGTTTAATGAAGATGACAAACAACTTCAGAAATATATTTAATTACTTGTACCCGATGTTTCGGCTTACGCCTTTATCAAGGGTCTATTATGAATGTCACAGGTTACCAAACATTTTAAATGATAGTAACTGAAAATGAAAGAAAGCTACAACAATATAACGGAAAAGTATATGTGATACATATATAGTCGAACAGTTTTGAGTTGTTGATCATAAAAATATAAATACTGATAATAATAACATAAAAATAGATAAAATCATAATGATAAAATTAATAATAATAATAATAAAATGTTAAAGGGCCAGGCATTGTACCAATTAATAGAATGGTGTCTGGAGTGAATCAAAAGGGATTCGAGGAAATTGTCTGATTGAAATTTTAAAAACTTGTGACAATTTCCTCAACAGAAAATAGAATGAATCACTTTTGATTCAATCCAGACACCTTTCTATTTATAGGTAAAATGCCTGGCCCCTTGAACATTTTATTATTATTATTATTAATTTTAACTATTTTTTATGTTATTATTATCACTTTCTATATTTTTATGATCAACGATTCAAAACTGTTCGACTATACTCATATCACGTACACTTTTTCATGATATTGTTGTAGCAGTATCTTGTTTTCTGTTACTATAGTTTAAAATCAGTTTGGTAACCTGTGACGTTCATAGACCCTTGATAAAGACATAAGCAAAACATCAGGTACAAGTAATTAAACATTTTTCTGAAGATCTTTGTCATCTTCATTAAAAAATGGTTTCTATCCTTCAGTCAGCATTGAAAATTTTAGAAAACAGTAACAGTCTATTTCACTTCCAGTTCAAACTATATTCTTACAAGAAACACATTGATGAGATTAGCTAAATTTTTAATGGTTCCTATAGCACAGTTACTAAGCCAGAAAAAGTGTATTAGTTATGGAACATTGTCTGTTTTTACATGTTATTATTCTGTGTTCTTTAGTACATTATGTACTTAAATAGAAAATTATTTAGTGCAGTAGTACCATCAGTATAAAAAAAGCAGGGTTAAGTGCCATCAATAGTTGACAGCAAAAAAAACCCAAAAAACCCAGGTATGTACTTTATTTCTTGTTTTTCATGTGTATTCTTTATTTATTATAACAAAAGTAACTAAAATGTAAAAATTAGAAACTTTTTAGGTTATATTTGTTAAAATAAAGAATTATAATAATAATAAAAAAAAATGTTTTCACCAGGTATGCTCGCAAGCTTGTGCATTAAGTAATTCAATAGGGTAACATGAGCAACACATATGCCAAAAGATTTACAACTTATATGGCCCAAATATTAATTAGACATGGTTCAAAGGGCAATAAAACAATAAAATTTAAGTGTAAACAGATGTATACTATTATGAGTTTAAAATTATTTAGGATAAACTAATGTAGTTTCATGTTACAATCTGAAGTTATTCTGGAAAGAAAAAAGAGTAATCTAGATTTATTTCAATTTTCTTGGTGGTTGCGAGGTCAGTCAAAATGACCAACCTCATGTATATATATATAGTTAGGGTAAAGACAGTTAAAATATAAAGTTTTACTGAAATAAGAACGTTTGAAATATATTTAGGAGGTTTTAGAGATCATGCAAATTACATCTGAGATTTTTGAGATGAAGAAAAGTATTTTTAACCTTAACATGAAAATTATTTTGCATTCAGAGAAGTTAACACTTTGACTCCATGTATTCTAAGATAAATTTTTAGCAAAAATACTTCATTAAAAATTCAGATTTTTTTTGTACATATGACTTAATGATTACTGAAAGCTTCCAAAATTTCATGAAGATACAAAAAAAATGTTAGAAGTTATAGTATGGAAACTATAAAGGTCAATTTGGGGCAAAGAACTTGGCTGATTCGACTGAGCCCATAGCAAGAGAGTTAAGTGATTTTGGAGCATACAAAAAGAGCAATCACTTACTGAATTTAGTCCTGTCTTAGCTGTATCTAATTTCTGTTTCTTCCGAGGACCAATGGCTAAAAGAGCTGTCATGTTAGCTTCTCTTTGTCTCATCTCTTCCAACTCTGCTCGTTGCAGCTGTTAAAAAAACAATCGTAACTGTGTTCATAATGTAAATCCTGTGAGATAAATGTTGACATTTCAAAAAAGTAAAAAGCATAAAAATTTACTTATATATATATATATTCAATTGCTACCTCACAATTTAATTATATTGTTCTACATAATTTTCAACTTTTTTTTATATATTTATGTCTGTGGTGTGTAATAATGTCATTCTACGAATGGAAAAAAATGTCAACAGACACATTCACCAATGCTGTATTAGTCTGCAAACATTTAATTTCTGATAAATTAAAAAAAAAACAGTTCCTGTAAATTTCTTTATGCAGAAACAGAAGAGCTATTTGTGGTGTGTTAGGACAGCTGTTAAAAAATGGGTTACTGGTTTCAGGTATTAGTTTAAACAAAATATCAGGTATTAATATTAACAAAATTAATTGACATAAAGACTGCTGTCTAGATTGTATCATACAGAGAAAAGAAGACAAAATGTAAATATTTATGTAACCAGGACCTTGCATACACCTTAAGTGAGTGAACGTTAAAGAAACTAACCTCCTTGGCTTTCAGTTTCAGTTTCATCTTATCTGGATCTTCAACTTTAGAACGACTCTATAAGAGAGGATATGAATATACCTGCTGTGAACACTTTGAATTTCGGCAAAATAAAATGGACTTTATGTGAAAATTTTAATATATATGCTTTATAAAACATGAATTTACATCAATCAATATAATACATGAAACCACTTGTAGGAATGATCTACTATGGAAGAATTGATATTTAGGAAATCAAAGTAAATATACATGATTCTGAGGAAAAGTTAGATATTAAAGTTATTCAACTGATGAATTTACTGAAACAGAAGTTCATATATATTGATGGTACAATTTAAAATGTTAATAGATTGATTTAACAAATAAATGGTTTAAGTAACAATTTTTTAATACATTGCTCTCCTTAACTTTTACACCAGTAGTTTCAGCAATATATAAAAGCCATTACACATTACACAATTAAGAAACTTCAATGACAGACAAAAAAAATTTAATTTTGCACAGTACTTTTTATGCAACTAAGTTCAATAGTCATTCGACAGCATTTAGTGCTTAGGTTTTCTGTTAGTGCACCGCTGCTTTTTAAAATGCAATTCAGAAATCCTCAACTAATTTGAGGCTTTATGAGACTGGATATAATCTTAGCACAAACATTACGTACACTAGAATCTCAAAATTTTTTATGATGTATCATTTGTTTAACATTTTAGACAAACAAACAACAATACAGAATTATTACCTTGGCAGCCTTCATTAAAATTTCTCTCTCTTGTTCTTCGTGTCTCTTTTTTTCTAGCCTATCCAACTCTTCTAGGTATTTTAATTGACTCCTAACATCTTGAGTGACTTCATACCTTGGGTCATTCTACATAAATTAAAAAATGGCATGCATGTATTAAAGAAAACAAACAGTAAACATCACAGTTGTACAATGGTTAATACTAATAAAATAAAACTGTTCTTAATACATTCAACATGTTCAGTTCTCAAAGATGTTTAAACAACAAACATTACATGCAACATTTTCAGAGGGTGTTTATATACATATATATTCATTTTTGTTAATATAAAAATCACCACTCTGAGGAAACATTAAAAAAATATATATGAAATATAGAATGATAATCTATAAACATAAATAAATATTAACTCAAACCTTAGCATTATTGTGGTTTCCTGATAAGGTTTGGTTTTCTAATTATGATTAATTTTCTCATATCTAACAATGTTTTAGAAGCTTACTCAGAATCTCTCAAGTTCCTTATAAAATTCTGAGTAATCTGATACTTCCTTCACGTTTATAGAACTACAGGCAAACCAAAAGGTTAACTTTAAAAGATTTGGGGTCATTAAGGCTAACTTGGCAGCCTCATTCTTAATTATTTTTAACTTAAAAAAAAAATTTGAACAATATTGCATTGCATGGACAAAATAACAGAAACCTTAACCTCGTATTGAACTGCCTCAAAATGTACCTAATTAACAGCTTGTATATGTTATGGCATGGAGTCTATCAGATCCTGTAGATATAAGGTTTGATATTTCCCCATTCTTCATGTAGTAGCATCTTCAAATTGTTAGAGTTTGATAGAGGCAGGGTATATTCCCTGGGCTGATGGGGATTATGACAATCAGAACAGAAGGCAAGTGTCTGTGTCATAATCTTTAAACTAAGCCTGTTTCATGTTCCTCAAACCAACCACTGATAAAAAAAAAAAAAGCATGATGACTGGTGGCATTGTCATGTTGAATCAGCCCACTTCTGTTGGAAATGACACTCAGATATCCATAAGATATAATGCAACCCACAAGAAGAACTGGGAATCTAAGCCACACCTAGAAAATGACCTCATTACTATTATCCCACTTCCAGCAGCCTGCACAGTTAAAACAAAACAGGAAGAAATTGTAGCCTGGTGAGATTGTTGCCACAACTTTACCCCACCCACTACCCATACAAAACTGTTCATATCAGTTTCATCAAATCACATAACAAGTTTCCAATCAATCTCAATTCTTGGTGCCCTTTGTATTACTGAAGCCATTTTCAATATGTTGCAGCAAAAATGTGTGGTTTGTGTAAAGATGCATGACAACCATACCTTATTTCTTGCAGTTCTCTATACATGGTTCTGAAAGACATTGAAGTCCCCAAACCATATCTATGGGACCACACAATCTTTCTTATTTCCTAGCAGCCTTATTATTTTTATTTAAATATTTATCCACTGGCTGGTGTTTTCTGAGATAATAACTACGTAGAATAAACTAAAACAACTTTCTTCCATATCTCAGTTAACTGTTTTCTCAGTAACGGCTCATGCTAATCCGGCTTCAACAACAATGTCTTTTTCAAAGTTTGTTAAATCTAGTCAACAGTCCATCATCATTGTATCAGATACTCCACATTCTCATGGAATAGCTTTATATACTTTTATGAAGGCCATATGTCACATAATGTAACAGAACACACAGTCTGCATTTACAGAACATGCATTCTATTCACTTTAACCCTATGCATATGGGCTTGGTAAATTTGACTGACACTGTAACCATGAAATTATAAATACTATAATACTGAATGTACTAAATGTATTTTTAAGAAATTGGGCAAGCTTTTGGTAAACATTACAAGCTTAATGTACATAAAAAAAAACAAGTTTCTTTACTAGTGTAGTTTTACTAAAGATTCATTTAAAAATTTACCAAGCCTTTACTGAGTCAGTCTGAGTGGAAGGTGATTTTCATCATAAGAATGAAAATGCTACCTTTCACCATAGTTTTGATATTTGACTTACATAACCTCTAGAACCTCCTAGTTGAGTATATAGTTATTTTGCTAAAACTTTGTATATTTAATAGTTATTTTGTCTATGCTACCACTAATTGTAGCAAAATCAGCAATGTAGGATAAAATGAAGTTTAAAAATATAAAATAAAATCAATAATATTTTTTTCTCTCCAGAATTACTTTATATAATAGCAGACATTATAATTTTCCTATACTGGAAATGTATTTCCATTAGATACTTACCTCCACTAACAGATATAGCTATTCTCATTCAGTGCTGCCCTCTATATGCAAAAAAATTTTTCATACATGCCACAGGCCTTGTGCTCCCACACATGTAAATCATCATGCAACAACCCTCCACCAATAGGAGTGTGACGCACGTAACTCCTACTATTTGATTCTACCAAACTATCACTATCTGCAGAAAATGGAAGCACCAATTGTCGGTGTGTGTGTGTGGGGGGGGGGAGAAGTGTGAATGGAGGTAAGTACCTATCAGGAATAAATTTTCAGTATAGGAAAATTATTACTTCCAATACGATACATTACCCCCGCTTACACAAATAGCTAGAATCCCACATTAAATAAGTAGAGGGACTGGTGCAAGGGAAAGAAAGAAGCACCCGAAGAACACCTGAAAAGGGGAGATCCTCAAATTAGAGGATCCTATGTGAGAGAGTTCATTACTTCTGTACCAGGTAAACCCTATGCCCAGTGTGGAAAGAAGTGTTGTAAACATGGCCGGAAAATGGGAGGAGCACATCCAAAAGGGAGGAAACAAAGTTTGGATAGGGAACCGAACCACCTGATATAGAAATCTCAATCCCTCTGTAATGAAGCAAATATATTGAGAGGAAAAACCTATAAGCAATTTTGTGGAACACCCCCATCTCAACAGTGTACATTTAGTGGCCATGGAAATTATAACTGTTAAGTCATCCTGGCCTTACAGTGCAGATTTCATTAGTTCAAGTACATCCAGACAGGCATCACTCACCACAGAGCTGGATACATAAAGAAAAAAAAAGGGACATGCCCCTAAAAATAAGAGGTATATATACAAAAAGATAACTTACCCAGTCACAGTCTCACCAAAGTCTGAAGAATGGCAACAGGTGGAAGATGATAACCTAACAAGGAAGAAATATCTTTCTGATGCAGATAGTGAGATATGAATGTATGCAGTGTGGTCCACATGCCTGATTGAAGAATATCCTCTAATGAACAATAGAGATGAGATGTCAGGGAAAAGGTAAGGTGCCTAATCTAGTGAGAAAACACCTGGAACAAATTACAGGAAGAAGGAGACAAGAATAAGCCAATCAAATGAAAAGCTGAGCCCAAATGGTAAGGGTGGAAGGAGAAAGGTCACAAGGATAATTGCCAAAGAATGCAGAGGTGGGAATGGGCACCATGGAAGAAAACCATGTAGGCAATATAACAACAAAGAGCATGTATGGGACATGGTAGTCTATTTGGATCAGACTGGGAAATGGAAGGAAGGGAAATCAGTGAGAAGGAAAAATTACCCTCACAAGCTACCAAGATTTTGTGAAGCTCGATTCAGGTAAAGGGCAACATATGTGAAATGATACAGGGTACATAAAACATTGATGGCAAATAAATCCAACCAACAATGTCCATAGGTCAAGAGGATAAGGAAATAAGTCTTAAAGGATAAGTGAAAAATCGAACATGAGGACAGAGGTTCAAATGGAGGTAAAGTAAGGCAGTGAAAACCCACACTGACATCCTAATCTGGAAGGACCACACACTTAGGAGGTCGACTAATCTGGAAGAAATGCAACAACAATGAGAGGATAGGAGAGGTAAAAAACTTTATGGGAAAAAGGAAAATGTGGGATAAGGCAGCCCAATAACCTACGATCAAGGAGTTAAAAAGTCTCCTGATCAAACAGCCAAGTAAGGAAATAACAGTGGGTCAAGCAGGTGAAAACCCAAAAACCAATGGTGGAAAATGTTCCGCATACACTGATAAACATCCATAGAGGAAGGCCTAATGGAACATGCTAAAAATGAAATGACTCACTGTGACAATCTGGATCTTCTCACCAAGGACTGGATAAAAACCATGCATAAGGACAGAGGGTAGGAAGGGCTGGATGAAATGCTGATGACTGAAGTTGACAATGAAGAGATGTGCCAGCCAGTAAGGAGCAATCAGAGGACTTATTACAGAGTGGTGTGGATGATTGAAATCACTCTGGGAAGGAGATGGATGCAAGGATACACATAAAGGTATTTGTTGGTCCAATCCTAGTTGAATGCATCAACAACCAATGCAAGTGGATAAGGAACCAGAGACCAAAACAGAGGTAAACTGGTATTGAGAGATGTCGCAAATACATACAGGTAAGGAGTACACCATCGAAGGCATAACCACTGGAAAATGTAAGGATCGAGAGACCACTCCGTTGGATATATTTTGTCCAGTCGTGAAAGACAATCCATGACAAGGTTGAATACACCCAGAACATGACAAACAAGGAGACAAATACTGAGTGTGTGGGCCCAAAAAAGGAAATCCAAGATTCAACCACAAAGGGAACGAGAACAGGTGCCGCCTTGGTGATTGATATAAAATACCACCATAAGGCTTGGAAAGAGATGAACAAGAATTAGTAATAGGGAATTGTCTAGGCTCAGAATGAGACAAATGATCAACCAAAGATGAAAGGGTTGACTGCTGCCTCACAGATTCCACACAGGATTCTAAAGTCTCAGGAATATCCCCTATAGTTCCTATAGTTTTGAAAGGAATGTATAGTTTGTAGTTGTCAAAATATCTATGTAGTAGAATATTTCATATGACATAAGGAAAAAACATCACTTGTAACAGATTGATTTTCTTTGAAATTTTTGTTCCATTCAGAATTTACTTGCTTGTAGTTTCAAACTGGTAATGAAACTAAATCAGATATTTTAAATTTAACTTCCAATGATATAAAGGTAAAATTATATTTCTAATGATACCTTCTTCAACACGGTAATTACATCTGAGAAACTGTACATTCAGTTACTTGGTAGGTAAGCAGGCACAATTTTCTTTGTCCATGATATAGAGATAAACCAATATATATTTTTAGAACTTTTAATTTGGAATAAGTGCAATGTCTGATAACATATCAAATGGATTTACTTTTTGCTACAATACTAGTGTTCAAAAATAATGGTGTCTCAACATTATCGATATCACAGAACAAAGTTCTCCTAATTAAATAATATACAAAACATTGTGTAGTTGTTACTTAAGTAATCTAGATCCAAAGGAAAGCTATCACATAACAAGTTTGCAAGATGTGGATATATACAGAAAATCTCATACAACTTCAAACATACTTTTACATTTTCTAAACGATGTTCTGCTATGATACCAAGCCTTTCAACCAGGTTTTTAATTCTTTCTTCTGTTCCATGGGATACAAGGGCTACAACATCTGGTGATACCTCATTCAGACCATGGTGAGCAGCTAGAAAAAACAACAACATTCAAAACTGATTTTCTAGTTCCTGGTGCACTATTAATATCTTTTAATTTTTAGTAATTATAATTTAGTAAACCAATTTATCATTTTAAAAAAATCATAATAGGAACATGCACAATTATAAAGCTAGATGAAAAACTAAATCCCAACTGCAAATACTAATAAACACAATAACAAATTTGTCCAAAAGATGCTTATTTTCGAATCAGAATGTTTTAAGATACAAATTATGTCTTCAACCAGATAAAGCGACTTATGACTACACATTCCTTAGAACAATGTAAACAATTTTACTTATGACAAAGAACAAATGTCAGAAATATGATGACTAGAGCAGGGCAGGTCACTAGAATAGATATATACATAATAACTTTGCCAAGAAAAAAATGGTGGTAAGAGAGAGAGAGTATGGCATTAGTATCATCATCAATAAAGATGTAACTTTCATGGGGTTCAGCCTTATGGTAATGAAAGATTCATTATAATTTAGCTTCATGGTCATCCTTTCAATATCACATTTAGGTCTATGTTCTAATGTTAACTACAACTGATGATGTTATTGAAGTATTCTGTGAAGAAGCTGAAGGTACCTTAGATAATATCTCTAATAGAGATTTGTTCATTGTCATAAGAGACTGAAATGCAACAACAGGGTGATATAACACCAAGCCAAAAATCATCTAAAGGCATGGACTTCGTGTCCAGAATAAGCATGGTGAGAGGGTCGGAGATTTTTTGTAAATCTAATTATTTAATCATGGGCAATACAAAGTTTAGCAGCATCTGCATAGGTGACAGACATGGATGAGCACAAATGATACATCTAGAAACCCAACTGACTACATTTTGATGGAAAGGAAATAAGAGATTACTGTTGCTCAGCATTCATAGAAGATTAAAAGTAAATTTTGCTAGTAAGCTTCAAGCTAAGAGTTATTTGCCTAAATCTCAAATTGATGGAAAAGATGAATGTAGCACTACCAATATCATACAATATGTTATTCACCGTTAGCATGAAAAGCTAGTTTGAACTGCTACTCAGGAATGTGGATAAAGAGCAAATGCTGAATGAATTGTGAGAAGAAATAAAGAAATCTATTTTGTCTGCTACTCAAGAGACACGTAACAGGGAAAAAGCAAAGCAAGCAGCCATGGATATCACAGGCTACAATGAACTGGGCAGATGAGAGACAGACAACAAAGGGAAAAGAGATGAATGACAGCTCCTTAAAAGAAAGGTCATAAGAACAGTTAGAGTAGACCAGAATGACTTTGCAGAAAGGAGGCATGAAGAGATCAAACAACCCAGTTCTGCCATGAAGAAAGTATTTGGATTTATGAAAGATCTTGTGCAGGTCTGACACCATTGCCAAGAACAGCACAACACTTGTCGGAAGTAATATCATCAAAGTCAAATGGGCTGAATATTGTTTGGAGTTGTATAAGTGCAAACTCCAGGAACCAAACAGCAGTGGATACAGTACAAGTAGAATAAAGAATGAGCTGCCACCAATGAAGAGTAAAGTGTGGCATGCAATTAACCACCAGAGAAATGGAAAGGCACTTGGCACTTATGATTCCTAGAATGCTGTGGAAGGATGGCTAAAAGAGGGCATTGTCATCATGTGATAACTGTGCCTGAAAATTTTGGAAAAAGAACTATGGCCCAGAGACAGTTGCCAAGCTATTTTTATTGCATAACTATATAAGGGCAACTTGAAAGACCACTGCACAATTAGTCTTAATAAGTCATACCAGCAAGGTACTACTGAAGATCATTAATAGAAGAATTAATTCAAGATGAAGAAGATAACTGAACAGCAGGCAGACTTCTGCAAGGGAAGGGGAACTAGAAAAAGAGATTGATTATATCCAGAACATTATGAAAAAGTTCAAAGGATACAGAATACCACTGTATCATCCATTATGCAAATTGTTTTGACCGCATCTAGTCACAATTTATGGGAAAATGATGAAAGATATGGAATTTCCAGCTCACATTATCGACCTGATAAGCTAGCTGTATCAAATTCAAGAGTCATCTGTGCATACGAGCAAAGGAGATACTTAATTATTCAGTATAAAAAGAGATATTAGACAGGGATGTGTAATGTTTTTGTGTTAAGTTTGGAGGAAGCATGTTACTAACTTGCAGTATGAATATGCTACAACACATGTGTAGCAACAGGGAAGAGATGCTGGATCTGTTAAAAGAAGTGAGCAGATACTGGGGGACTCTTGCTGAACACCAAGACCAAGATAATGGTAAATGATAAAGACAGAAGAGATGACACACAAGTGTCTTACGGTCAACAGTTAAAATATGGAAAAATGTTCACATTTGAATATCTTGGTTTGGTAAAAAGCCAAGTGTAGATGTGCACTGCTCGGAAGGTAGTTCAAGATATGGTCAAGATCTGAAAGAGAAAGATAACTACTGCACTCAAAGTTTGACTGCTAAAAACAACTGCAGTCACTATGGTGATTTACAGTTCAGAATCATGGGCCATGAAAAAAAGTGGTCAAAAGACAGTGAGTGTAATTGCAGAGTATTGAGGGTGCTGGAATCAAGATAGAACAAACATTACTGATTTAAAAGGTGGATAAAATGGATAAGGTGTAAAATTTCTCTTAGTAATTGGTTCTAATAACTTATACACTTTTCGTATTCTTTTTGCTAACATTTACTTATGAAATTGTCAGTTAAAAGTGCTGTACATACACATACATTGTGGATCAAATGCATTCAATTTCAGCCCTTCAAAACTGTTCTTGGTTTAAAATGTTGGTGTAGCTTTGAAATAAAAAAAATCAAGTAATTTTACTTTTTATAATTAGTACCATATTTCTGCTGGATTTAAAACACTTTCAATACAAACATTTCATATAAAATCATTATCAATAAGTGATATAAGTGAGTAGAAAATTCTTACCAATTTGTTTAATTCGCCTTTCTAATGGTCCAGTGAACAAAAAATTTGAATCTTTGCATGACCTTATTTCTGTTCCCACCATCTCAGAATTTGACGCAAGAATCCTCTGACTTTCTTCTACTAAATTTACACCACCCATAGCAGCAACATCATTGAAATCATCATCTTCTTGACTACAGTAAGAAAAACCAAACATGCACCAACACTTCTGGGGTAAAAAAAAACAACAGAATATAAACAAGATATTTCAGTGGCAACAGTGAACAACATATTTTACATTAATAATGCTACTATATTAATTAGAAAACAATTCCTTCATGTAACTAAGAAATCCATAACTATCTAACACTCTATGAAACCAAAGTATTGTTTAAACTAGAGCGGAGCACATTGTTAGCCACTAGTAATATCCCCTACAAGCCCTGATTAATCATCAAATTAAAATAATAAGGTGTTTGTTGGTTTTAGTTTCTGACATGCACAGATGTCATATATGTGCACTTAAGGTGTGTAATACTTTAAAAAAATGATTACTTGGGACAGAATATCTAGTTAAAGTAACACAACATACAAAAATGAAACATGTGTACTTTAGAATAGATAATGGTTGACAAAATTTTCTACCCATCCCAAATGCACGTTTATTTTTGTTAAAACATTATGATCTTGAAAATATAATGATTTATATATAGTTTTCCACATGATTTTCCTTCTCTATTAGTGGTTGCCCTTTGTTGCCATCCTTTTATGATGCCACAACATACGAGATGAAGAATTACTAATGAAACTCAAATGTGACAATTGCTGAGCAAATAATTAGATACCACTAGATATAGTAAATTACAAATTATACAAGTAACTGTAAAGCAGTTTATGTTTTCCCAAGAAACTGAACTTTTGCAGAGACGAACAAAAGAATCTAATGGAAAGTTTAGAAGTCTTAGGAAGAAACCACCAAAAAACTGGAAACTTTTTTGTAGTTTCTTTTGAAATTCTTTTCATTCTTGAAACTATTTATGTGTTAAGTAATATTTGTTTAAAGCTACAGAAATGTTTTTCTATGAAAAGACATCAATTAAACCGAGATTTAGGAAATAAGGTATGTGATGGCAAAATATACAAATGGTTCAAACCCTTATTTATTGAGTAATATTGTTAAGTTTACTGTATTCAAAGAACACAGACAAATAGCTTTTTATTTATTGAAAAGAAAGTATAACTCTTGATCTTGACAAAGAATATTTTTAGCAAAAATCATAATACCTAGCCTCAAAAATGAAATGTTAACATCATTTTGAAATTCTATGTTTAAAGGAAGTAGTATCTTTAATGTTCTTTCACAACATAAAAAACATAAACATAAAAAATTATATAAATACTTAAAAAATGATATTTTTTTTTAAAAGAAACTTGATACATTAGATACTATTTAATAAGTTTTGGTCAAACAATTATACTGGAAAGGAAAAATAAGGGGATTTCAGTACATCTCTTTGGTCCAATAATTATGAATTGATGAGCAAATAATGGAAAACTTGTATTTGAAAAAAATGGTTTATTCTGATGTTGATACTTTGTTCTAAATAAAAATTCAAGTTACAAAGAAAAATAACAAGAAAAACTAAAACTAAGAAATGTTAAGAAGTTCTCCCATAGACAAACACTTTTTTTAGTCATATAATGACTAAAATTTGTCTATATAGAAACTAAATTTATAACATAACGATAAACTTAGCTTTATTCTTAAAAGTTATAATGTATATAATTTTACATAAACAGAAATGAAAGTATTCTATCAAGTTCAATATTTCGTATGATGACAATAAATAAAAAATATTTAAGTATTTTCAATAAATATTTAAAAAATCAATATATAAAACTGAGAGAATAACTTCACTGTCACAGTTTGTTAAGATTACAATATACAATTTCCCTACAAACTAATACTCAATAAACTGAAGAAGCTTTCCCAAAAAACTACCCATGCAATTTTGAGTTCAGTTAAATTTTTCAAACTTAAAAGCTTTTAGTCTGAAAACATCTTGAATTTTACACCATTAAGTAACTTCACTTTTTAGGAATATTTTTGAGACCAGAAAATCCATAATTATACAGTTTCTTCTCATGTTTTCATCTAAACATCAGCATACGAAAAATTTGTTTTCAAATGTTCACTGTATTTATCTGCCCCAACATTTACTGGTTCATATTTATAATCTACAATCAAGGAAGGTCTTCTACAAGCATTTATAGGTGAATAACTGACAAGGTTAACAAAACTTTATTACTTTGATTTCTCACTTTGTACTAATGGTAAATAAGTGTTCAGTGAAATACATTTTTAAAAACAAATCACAAATTACCATTATTAAAAGCCAATTCATTAAATTATAAATAGATTTTTATCATGTAGCTTTTTTGGTTAGAAATCTCAAGTCACTTCATGATTGAAAGTAGGGGTTCAACTTTTGTAATGCATGCTTAAAGTTTGAAGGTTACATTATTATCAATAGTACTGAATGGAATATTAGCCTGATAACTCCTCTAGTGGTTTTGTTCCATAATAAATATAACACCGAATTTAAAAAGAATTCCAACAACTATAAAGAGTTAACGGCAGATTATAACTTATTACTACCTCACAGCTGCTACAGCTTTCTTGTCTTTTGGCAGATTTCTCGCCTGAGAACCTGCTTTTGACTGAACAGTAGCAGTGGATAAGACAACAGGACTTCCTGATGGTTTGTTCAAGTTGGTGGACACAAGAAGGCTCTTAACTCTGGCCCCAGCATCCTACAGAAAATTATCATCATTGTTATTTCTTTTACCACTGAACTACTTATAAAAACATTTACTAGATTCCAGAAGAATCTAGCTGTATTTTTATCATAAGGAAAAAAAATCTTTATCCTGAGCTTCAGCATCTTCATCAACAACCTAAGAAAATCTTTTATACTTAATAGGAACAGAACTCAAATTTAAGCCAGAGTTGTAAAATATTCCAATTACACATTAGCATTGTCATTCAAACAAAACCTTCATAAAAGTTGCCACAGAATGAAATTTAATAACTTTTAACAGTCCATTCTATTAAAAAGAAGAAATCTTTCAGTCTGTTTACTAGCTTAATTTTCACAATTCTAGAGTTGCAGTGGGAACAAAATCATAATGTAGTAATAGATGTAGAAGAAATTTGATCAAGATCAAAATTATTTTCCATATAATATCAACAGACTAAGCATAATAACTTTAGCTAACATGTAACACCTAAGATATACAAGAAAGATAGAGAAAAACAACAACTTACTGTTGAAAGTCTTTTCTGAATTATACCAGCTGGTTGAGTCAACTGTGTACTAAGTGGCCCCTGGGTCACAACCCTTATTTGTGCTGAAGGCTGGTTCACAAGAGTCTTGTTCATGACCTTTCAATATTCCATGAACAGACATACAATAACACAGTATTCCAACATCTACTAATACACACTTAGGATTTTAAATGTTTACATCAGTCTTCTTACATTTACTTAAAAAGTAGAAAAAAGCTAGCATAGACATAAACTATCTTAATATTTCATTTTAACTCTCACGAAGTAAGAAAAATCCAACAGTTATTTATTTTCCTACTTGATTTCGTGCAATGGTTGCAGTTGTTGATGGAAGAATAAATGCTGTGGCCGGAGGAGGACGAATTCCATCAATGCTTGACTCTCCTGTCATCAAGGAATGACGAAGATGAGGAAGGCTTTTCTGTAGACAGTTACAGAAACAAAAAAACTCTAATTACAAAAATGCTGCTTTAAATATTTTATCACCATCGGAATAAGTTTCTTTGATTTCATGCAAACCAACATAAGAGTGATCTGCATTAAAAATCCCTAATTTTGAAGTGATAGACTAGAGGGGAAGGCAGATATTCAACACATACAAAGTTCAGGTTACTCTTGTCAGACAGTATGTTTTTTTTCTCTTTTCTTTTTTTTTTTTTGGTTAACAGGGCCATGCTCAGAAACCAAATTAAGGATTCTATCTATGCTGCAATACTTCATCCCACAATGGTCATTTAATGCAAAACTGTGAATATATTATGCAAAAAAATCCACATGTACACAAAAAATTATCACTGTTCATATTGTTTATACATTTTTTTGTCTTATCTCTTGACAAAGTTTTGAATGCTGGCACATTCCCCAGAGATGACAGACCTCTCAACAAGTATGAAATGAAAGCTTTAGATGTAGTGCCATTTTCAGAGCAATGCCAATGACTCACTCAGAAAATGATCAAGACCATGCTCCAGTAGGCTCAAAGATTGTCATGAATTCAAATAGTGGTATAAATAACAGTGGAGTCTATGCAAATAGAAAAGGTCTCTAAGAAAAACAGACAGTATAGCATCAAATAGATTGAAACTGCAAGCCAGACAAAAGATGACAAATTTGATAGCTATTCCTAAATCTAATAAGGGTAAACTTCTGCCTTAAACATACTAAATGTTTGGATACCCATGCATTCAAGGTATTCATGTGACCTCTAACTCAAATTAGAGCTCCAAAGTTGTAATTCCTAACCCTAAAAAATCAATGGAAACTGAAGTAGTTAAACCTTCTCTGACTTGTTACCTTTTGTGTAGGTTTGTGTGATATGTCAACATTTAACCTTTCTTTAGTATCAATGAAACAATCACTAAAATGTAGAGGTTTGTAAATTTCTTTACATACTAAAACCTTTTTTTTTTGCTCAAATACCTCTAACATATTACATTTCATAATCTACATTGTCAAAAATAATAGCAGTTTCAAAACTCCAATTATATCTAAAAGAACATAAAATAACTCTGCACTGTTTAAAAATTGTACAAGCTTCAGTTTACAATGTAAATGACAAGCATATCTATGCATTTACCTAGTAGTTATATTATGTCACTATTTGTCCTCTTTATAAGTACATCATATACAATGCTTTTAAAATGTGCTTTCTACATGAAACTTATTATGACTGGCATCTCAATCAAATGATTACATTAACAGAATTATGGTTATGGTAGTCATTACAATGTTAAGCCAAGTCAGGTAGGATTAGAGATGGACAAGTAGTGGAATTTGGTGATTATTTACTTTCAACTAATTGATTATTCTCAGACTTGGATAGTTGGAATTAAAAATATTGATAATTGGAAACATTAATTTCTATTAGTTGATTATTTTTGTGAGTTATGACATTAACTGGTTATGCTGAATAACCTGGAATCAGTCAAACATAATTATGAGAATCATATTACCAATATTTTGATTATTTGAATACTTAGAATATATGATTAAGTAATAATCAGAAACACTAATTTTGATAAGTTGATTATTTTACATGTCAATAATCAATGTAACTGATATCATAGGTAATGTATAAATGAGCTAATTGTCCAGCTACACATAGGATACATTATGGCAATGGAAACCCAAAATTAATGCTTTTGTTTGTTTGTAGTTAACCACAAAGCTACACATTGGGCTATCTGTGCTATGCCTACCACAAGTATTGCTCCTAAAGAAGAAAGTTCCACCTTTCGAAAGCGCTCGGGTTATAGGATCTTTATTCATTTCTAACAAGTATTGAAACCCGATCGATAGCCAAATTAATGCAATGTTGTATAGTAATAAATGTAATTTGAATACAGTATCATTTTTTATGTATGTATATATTATAGTAATTAATATAAATCATTTTTTTCTATATCTATTCTGAAAATTTATAATAAAAAAAAGCAAGGTAACAGATTTTTCCTAATATGGATACATGTGAAACTTTAATTACTTAAGATAGATATGAACCTCAAAATGAGCAGAGCTTTACAATAAAAATATTGATTTCTTATCTATGTGATCAAACATCAAGTAGTGTAGTTTCTTTTTTAAACTTTTCTTTTTACTGAAAACAAAATCTGAATTCAGAACTAGTTTCATTCATCTTTTGAAACACAGTATGAATTCAGAACTAGTTTCATACATCTTCTGAAACACAGTCTGAATTCAGAACTAGTTTCATACATCTTTTGAAACAGCCTGAATTCAGAAATAATTTCATGCATCTTTTGAAACAGTCTGAATTCAGAACTAATTTCATGCATCTTGAAACAGTCTGAATTCAAAACTAGTTTCATACATCTTTCAAAACAGTCTGAATTCATAACTAGTTTCATTCATCTTTCGATACACAGTCTGAATTCAGAAATAGTTTCATACATCTTTTGAAATACAAAGTTTGAATTCAGAAATAGTTTCATACATCTTTTGAAACACAACTCTGAATATATTATAAAAATATATCATGTTTCAAAAAAGTTTTTTTTTTTTTCAATTTGCTATAGGTACTTCTTTCACATAAAATATAATAATGTGAAAAGTTACAACAATTTGTATTTACATTATAGTTCAATATGTCTTGGGTGTTAATGTTATTACATTTTTTTAAATTAGAAAATCATCACAAATTACTCTTCATAAAAAAGGAACGTCTCAAAAGATTTATTTTCTACATATTTTCTGCGTGAAGATAAGTACAATACATCAATAAACACTTTTACAAGCATACAGATTACAATCAAATTCAAATAAAAATATTTAAAAACAATGATCTTAGAAGTATACTTACAAATATTACAAAAGGTGCTAGTAAACTTAAGACTTTTGAGAAAGAAAACATAACTCAAGATGGAAACTAATTAGTTGTTTCAATATAAATAATACTTCTTTTCTATAAGTTGCAATGTTTTAATATAGCTTTGTTGCATATACAAAACATCTGGTAAGTTTCAAAATAGTTGTTTGATTATTTTACAGTTGTTGTGTCATACGGGAGGGATATACAATATTGTTACAACTAACAGTTTATTATAAAGACCTCAACAAGAAATACAGGTTGTTCAAGTTTTATCGAATGATGAATCCAATAATATTCTGCTACATAACAGTCCAAATGAAAGATAAAAAACTGTTTTATTGTAATTGCTGAATGCTTTATGTTATATAACTGTGTTATTATATATAACCTTACATATATTTTGTTAAAACATCTTATAGGTATTATGATCACCGAGATTATATGTTTAAATTTTCATTCTTTAACATAATGTTTTTTATACACACACAAAATTTGATCGAGTGATATTCTGTCTTGTACAGGACATGAAACAATACTGGCCAGTTATTAACAAGAACACCAAATGCACACTCACTTATATTTGACTCACAGGATCAACAACTCCTGCAAAGGCTATTGCAGGAGTTATTGATAACAGATTTTGTGAGAATAATTTAACTGAAAGAAAACAGATAAAAACAAAATAACCTTTCTTTGTTGTACAAAGATAAAACATTGTTATTATAAATGTACAATAAAACTTTACGTTTCAGTTATGTATCTTGCGAAGTATGTTCATGCCAAATAATAATACAAATGAAAGTATTCTAGCACATACTACACACTTCTAACTAGCTACGTCTATAGAAAATACAGTATTGTTAGATAATTTTTTAACAGAAATACCAAACTATTAAAATTAACTAGTTACCTTAGCTCATGTTTGAAGTATTTATAATAAGAAAGGGTGAGATTTAGGAGCTAATTAAGTTAAATCAAAATTAAATTAGCTCACGTTTCTAATATTTATAATAAGAAAGGATGAGTTTTATGAGATAATTAAATCAATGCTCTGCATGACTGGGATCCTAAAACAATCTACAATTATATCATTTCTGTTTTCCTCTAATAACTGTTTCTTCTATTCATACATCCTCAACAAGTAGTATTCTTTGATAAGATGTTTATGCAGAGTATTCATGATCATTACATCAGAATGGTTTGTAACTATCTGTTGTAGAAGTGTAGAGGATGACATTTCAAAAGACATTCAAAACACTGTCCTCTACACTTGTATTTTTACTACAACAGGCAGTTGCTTCCCATTCCCGTGTGCTCATCAAGTAGAAGTGAGCTTTTCATAACAAAAACATGACATGCCTTGGCCTGTGGTTTCAACTAATGGATCAAAAATTAGCTTATTTCATAATGTTTTTATTCCGGAAAATCCAGCTCAAGATCATTAAAACTTTTTATAAGTGTATTCCTCTAATTCATGTTCAAAACATCAGTTTGTTTACATAATGTAATTGTTCTGGTAACAGGACAACACGTATACATAAATATTTTACTGGTAAGACTTCTTTTTTCAGGAAGGACAAGGTTTGAACAGGCTAAAGGAAAAACAATTCCAGGACCAAAATGTCATTTTCGAGGACGTAATTTACTGGTTTTAACAGAACAGGAAATTCAGCAAAATCAGATAACATTTATATAAAATTGCAGCAATAGCTGTACAAAACATTTCAGCAATAACACACAGTGAAATGCAAAACAATAGACTGTAAAACAGGCCATGAAAAGAAATTCTTGATGACCACAAATTATTGAACAAAGTACTAACAAATTCATCATTTACAGGTCCCTAGGTATATTTGAACTTATCCCAACTTCAATTTAATAACGAGTGATAGTCTCGAGTATTTCTCCACAATACAGTGCTTTAGTCAAACCTAAAAACTCATCTAATATATAACCGAACCAAATAATATTTATTGAACATATTATTTCAATCTGCCTAGAGGAGAACAAGTCAAGTTTTACCTGATTGGCTGCTGATTCACCGCATGCTACCATGCTAACAAAGCAAATATTCCCACTCATATTGTTACACA